GAGGGTTTATTTCTGGGCTCTCTATTCCATTGATCTATTTGTCCATCTTTATGCCAGTATCATACTGTTTTGATTACTGTAGCTTTGTAATAAGTTGTGAAATCTGGAAGTCTGAGTCCTCCAGTTTTGTTCTTCTTTTTCAAGATTATTTTAGCTATTTGGGATCCCTTGAGATTCCATATGAATTTTAGGATGATTTTTTTCTTTTTCTTTAAAAAAGTCATTGGGATTTTGATGGGGATTGCATTGAATCTGCAGATTACTTTGAGTAGTACTGACATCTTAACAATGTTAAGTCTTCTAATCCATGAACATGAGATGTGTTTCCATTTATTTATGTCTTCTTTAATTTCTTTCATCAATGTTTTCTAGTTTTCATTGTATAAGTCTTTCACCTCCTTGCTTAAGTTAAATCTTAAGCATTTTATTCTTTTTGATGCTATTATAAATGAAATTGTTTTTGTAATTTCCTTTTCAGATTGTTTATTGTTAGTGTATAGAAATGCAATTTATTTTTGTGGGTTGACTTTCTATCCTGCTATTTTGCTGAATTCATTTATTAGTTTTGTTTTTTTGTGGCATCCTTAGGGCTTTCTACATATAAGATCTTATCATCTGAAAACAGAGGTAATTTTATTTCTTCCTTTCCAATTTGAATCCATTTTGTTTCTCTATGTTGCTTTATTGCTCTGGCTAGAGCTTCCAGTTCTACTATGAATAGAAGTGGCAACACGAGACATACTTGCTTTGTTCCTAATCTTAGAGGAAAAGTTTTCAGTCTTTCACCATTGAATATGGTGTTCACTGTGGGTTTTTCATATATGTCTTTTATTATATTGGGATAGTTTCCTTCTTTTCCTAGTTCGTTGAGTGTATTTTATCGTGAAATGGTGTTAAGTTTTGTCTAATGCTTTTTCCACATCAATTGTGATGATAGTGTGGGTTTTTTTCCTCTTCATTCTGTTGATGTTGTGTATTGCATTGATGGATTTTGGTATTTTGAACCATCCTTGCATTTCAGGAATAAATCCCACTTGGTCATGGTGTATAATCCTTTTAATACACTACTGAATTCTATTTGCTAGTGTTTTCTTGAGTGTTTTTGCATCAATGTTCATAAGGGATTTTGCGTTTTTCTTTTCTTGTAGTGTGTTTGCCTGGCCTTGGTGTCAGGGTATCCCTTAAAGTTTGTTCACTTTTCTACAATCATTTTTCTTTCTGTTCCTCAGACTTAATAACTTCTATTGTCCTATCTTCAAGTTCACTGATTCTTTATTCTGCCTGCTTAAGTTGCTTTTGAATCCCTTCAGTCAATTTTTCATTTTAGTTATTGTACTTTTCAGCTACAGAATTTCTATTTGTTTTTTTATCTCTTTATTAATATTTACATTTTGTTCATACATTATTTTTTAAGTATTTTATCCACATCTTCCTTTAGTTCTTTGAGTATCTTTAAGACAATTTGTCTCATATATATGTCATCAGCTCTTTTTCAGGGACAGTTTCTGTTGATTTATTTTTTTCCTTTGAATAGGCCATACTCTCCTGTTTGTATGCCTTGTGATTTGTTTTTTGGTTGAAAACTGGACATTTGTGTTGTCGGCTGAAATAGAGAGTCTGGGTAAAGGTTCATTAAAGGAGTTTATTCAATAATCAGTGAGAAATTCAAATCCCAGGAAATAGTCCAACAGAGTATTCTGAGGAACATCTCTGAGGTCTACAGATCTGAGTGTAGTTTATATACTTTTTTTCTTTTTAGCAAAGTAGTGTATGTGCAGAAAAAGGCTTACACATCTAATATTCGTATAATTCAAAGATAACATAGACAAGAATCTTTTGGTTATTCATCAAACAAGGCTTGGATTGTTGGTGTTATTTATATATGGAGGGAGGCAAGGACCAGGGTCCTTACTGTTTCCCTCAAGCTCTAAGAAATGTGGTTTGAAAATATGAGAGTGTACCTTTATCTTTTCATGTTGTGGATCTATCCAGCTGGCGTCTTCAGTCATGAAGTATGGGGTTGCAAAGTCATTCTGACACAGGCTTAAGATAGCCTGCATGGCTGCTTCACCGTACAGCATGGATTTTTATTGTACTGACTTTAAGCCTATCGAGCTTGCTTACTAGATTCACCTGTTAGACCAAGGAGAGGGGTCCTAGTTTCATTAACAGCATCTAATAATGTGGTAACACTGGAAATCAGATTCTCCCCCTTCCCCAGGGTTTGCTGTTTTTGTTACTGGTTTGTTTGTTTATTATTGTAGGATGTCTCTGTGCTATGAGTCACCCTGAGGTGGAAACTTAAGGTCTTCTCAGATTTTTCTGATCCTTTCCTTGGGCATACACAGTTATTTTCTAATTTTCCCTGTATATGAATCTGTTTTTAATGTGCTAGTCTTTAATGTCTAACTTCCAAAAGGGGAAAAGGAGAAAAAAGAGGGGTAAAAAGGGTTCTGTTCCTTTGAATCCCCTAGAAGTCACTTCAGTTAGAGGGGGAGGGCTTTGCAACAGTGAGGGGAGGTACAACAACAATAGTTGCTCACCTCCCTGTCTGCTTTTCTGTGACAAGATGCAGCAATCGGCAACCAGAGCACAGAGCCCTACATTTGGAGTACAGGGTCCTTTTTGCCATCTAAGCTCTCACCAGCTGCTGTGGAGGCTGTTCCAGGAACCTGTAAATAGTTTCTTGCCATGTGGCTGGGGGTGCGGGATGGGTAGCTGTTACTGTTCTCAGAGCTGAAATTTACTGAAATTAACCCCAATTTATGTCCAAGCCTTCCCCTGGAAGTTGCAAGCCTTTAATATACTCCAGAGTTCCAAAACAGTTACATCATCCAATGTGGTTGTTTGTTCTCTAGGTGGGGAGACAGATTCCCAGTGCTTCCTACTCTGCCAGCTTCCCTAAATCCTCTCTTCTTCCCTTCATTTTTGAAGAATTTTAAGTTGACTGTTGTTTTCCTTCCCCACTTAAAATATGTCTTTTTGTTGTTTTCTGTCATATTTTTTTGATTAGAAGTCTGCTTTTTGCTTATCTTTATTTCCCTCTAGTTATGTCTTTTTCCCCCCTCTGGCTACTTTTACAATTTTCTTTTCTTCCTCAGTTTTTCACCAATTTGGTTATAATAATCCTAAATATGGGGTGTGTGCATGTGTATGTATATGCTTATATTTATTTTTCTTGATATTCATTAAGATTCTTGGATCTGTTGATGCATAATTTCCATCAAATTTTGAAGATTTTTTTTGCTTTTATTTTGTCGGATTTTTTTTTCTGTTCCCCCTGTTTTTAGAACTCCAGTCACACATATAAAATACTGCTTGATATTGTCTCACAGGTCATTTGGATAGATTCTATTGCTACATCTTCAAATTCACTGATCTTTACCTAATCTGTAATATCTAATCTGCTTTTAATTTTATCCAGAGAAAATTTTATTTCAGTTATTATATTTTTTCAGCTCTAGAATTTGTTTTTCTATATCTTACAGTTATATCTTCATTATGTTTATGTTTTCCTTTGCATTTCTTATATACATCGTCTATATTTTTGTTTTACATGATTTAATACCCTTGTTTACTAATTCTATTGTCTCTTTCATTTTCAAGTTTGTCCTTATTGAGTAATTTCTCCTGATTATGGTTACATTTTCCTGCTTCTTTACATGTCTGGTAAATTTTGGTTACATGCTGGACATTGTGATTTTACCATGCTGAGTGGTATATTTTGTTGTAGTCCTTTAAAGAATTTTGGACTTTTTCTAGCAGGCAGTTAAGTTACTTGCAGATTAGTTTGATCCTTTGGAGGCTTGTTTTTAAGTTCTTTTATGGAGGTTCTAAAATCGTTCTAGTTCTAAATTATCCTCATTTCTAAGGTGTTGCCCTCTGGAGTCTCTAAAGAACACGCATGTAATGATTGAGGTCTCTCCACTCTCCATGGATGGAACTTGAATGATTGACACTCCTCTGTGAGCTCTGCAAATTGTCATGATAACTTTCTGATAATTTTTCTTTTCTTGGAAGTTGTTCTTGGCAAGCTGCATAGAGTTTACTCTGCACATGTACAGATTGACATTTAGCCATACACTCAAGGAACCTCTGTACTTATTTTCCTGGAACTCTTTTTTTTGTTTGTTTTCTGCATAGCTCCATCCTCTATGGGACTCTGGCCCACAAATTTTAGCTGTCTTCACTTCTCCTTAATCTGATCTCTTTCTCTTTATTTCAGCATGATAGTTGGGTTCCTTGTAGGTTACCCAGTCCTGTGCCACAGTCTAGTATTCACCTGTAAGAAGGAAGCCTTCATAGTGGTAGAGCTTATTTCATTTCTTTGCCTTTTCTCAGAGATCGTCATACTGTGCTTCCTTTTTTCCATTGGCTGAAAAAGTTATTTCTCTTATTTTGTCCCATTTTCTAGTTATTTATGGGCAGGAGGCTAAGTCTCCCTCATGGCCATTACAGAGTTCTCCTAATAGGTATTTTAATGAGCAAGGAAGTGAGATTTTTATAAAAGTGGAGATTCTTCAAGGCAAATAGCAGATAACGGAACCAGGAACTTTTCTAATAATACCATCTGAGTGAAGGATCTAGGACTCAGGGCAGGTGCCTAACTGAGAAATGGGTCAGAAAAACAGAGAAAGATTGTGTGGATGCTTGTTTAGTATGGTTCTGGGGACCTCAGGGCCTTCCCATCCTAACCTCACTCACCTTGCTCTCAGGTCACTGCTGTACCTATTGTTTTCTTGATGTCAGAAAGCCCTGGATAGGGAAGATATTCTTTACTATTATTATTATTATATATCACAAAAGATTGATCTATAGAGCAGAAAAATATTGGCATCAAAGTGTAAATATCTAGTACTTAGTCCTTTGCTGAGATTTGGGAGGGAGTAGGGAGCCCTAGTAAGACTTGTGACTTTGATAGGCTTTCTGAAAACTCTATCTGCCAAGGTGTTTGAGTTCAGTCTACTACCCCTTTCCCTCTTTTCCCCCTCTGGCTGCAGTTATGATAGCGTGCCTTTTCTCATGCATGACTATGACCTGAGAAGAACAACCAATATTCAGAAAGTCATGCCAAATGCCTCCTTTGCACACCCTTCTTCTTTCACATGGGATTTCCTGTCGACTCTGAATGCAGGCGAATGGTTTGTACAACCACAGGTAAGACACATTCCCCAGCTCAACAAACTTTTAATAAATCCCTCTTCTGTACGAGGTCATGTGCTGCTCCTGGAGATAAAGACTTTAGATGAAGATAATCACACATGCACACAATTTTATTCCAGTTTGGTAGCAGCACTATAACATTGGCAGGAGGGTTTTTCTAGTAATGCAGTCAGTGTAATTACTGCTGTCTACATTCACTGGAAATTCTGAAACAAACTTGTAAACCTGCTCTTGTCATGTATTTCCTTTTTATCCAAGCATTTCATAGACTTTTACAGTGGGCCTACCACGTGTATAGCGTTTTCCTGGGCATTTTGGATAGCTTACAATCATAGATGAGGCAAAGTAAGAAACATATTTATTCTTGATTCCTTCTTCTTACCATTCAACAAATATTTATTGAGTATCTGTTGGATACTAGGCACATGGAATACAGTGGTGAATAAACATACATCCAGCCCTAATGGAGTTCACAGGATAGCATAACAGGCAATTACAGTTCATTATAAGTGCTGAACTACAGTTAATTTCAGGTTGCTTAGGAGCACACAAGAACAACTTCTTTCTCATTCTGAGGGATGGGAATGGTGGATTCTGGAAGAAGGAGGTATATAGGCTGATAAAGGTGTGGTGATATTTAAAGCATGTGCTGTGTACATTGCAATTTTGAGGCAAGAGTGACTGGTTCTACTTGAGAGACTTGAATACTTCATGCAAACATATCATTTGAGCTGAGGGAAGATCGTTACTAAGGGGAACCATGGGTAACGATGGTGGTGTGTTTCATAGATTACAGTACACTGGAGCAAGAGGGGATATGGGGGGGTGTAAAAGAAAGAAAGGAAGGGAAGCATGGAGGGAAGGAGAATGACAAAAGAGGGATAGGAAGGAGATGGAAGATAGATTAGGAGAAGAATCTGGGAAAACATGTTGAGAGAAGATTATAATAATGCTAAATAATAAGTTAGAGAGTTTGGAATTACCCTGGGTATTTTAAAGTGGGTAAAATAAAAGGTCAGATTTGCATTTGATAAGTTAAGCCTGCCTTCTTAAGATAGATTACAGAAAATAAAACAACTTACATTTTCTAGCTTATCATATGTCTACGGGAAATCCATGTGACCTAGGTTTTACCAATTAGATATACTCATTTGAGACTTTGATTTTGAAAATAAACATCTGAGCAGGACAGAAATCAGGCATCTGTATTTCTAGCAGCTGTGGCAGCAAAGATGGCATGGTGTGGGGGTCAGCTGTGTAATAACTCTCTTATCAGCTAATTGGGTAATTAGGAAAATCTTAAGGTATTTTTCATTGTGTACTAAGGGTAGAATGGAATTTTATTTGTATTTGATGTTAATCCTGAGGACATATTTGATCCTTTTTCATGTAAAAGTAGTGAAAAGTAAATAGTTATAAAAGGATGGACTTATCCACCACAGACTCATTCTATTAACTAGTGTTAATATAAGGAATATCTGAAAGTAGATTTTTTCAACTGAAAGTAGTAATTAATGCATCTCCTCAGAATACTTGTTTTCATAGGATTACATAGTCTATAAATGCTTTTTCCATGTGTGAAAACAATGGGATCACTCTGATATTCCAGGTTTCTGTGTGTATGTAGGCTCTGTATGTAAGTCCCATCATATACGAATAAATGGACACATACGAACTAGAGATGCTACGTTAGAATGTTTATATTGGATTGGTTAGGCATAGTTAATGTTTTGGCAAATTGTGTGTTCCAGATGAAAAGGCTCTTATATCTGATGTGTCACGTATGGCTTGTAAAAGTCTTACTTATTCTAAGTGGTAGGGTCAGATATGTTATTGCAATAAATTTTGATGGATATTTTTTAGGATTAATAGTTTTATTTTGGCATATTTAGGTGGTATGCTTGCAATGTTTAGTTATACTACTACTATGGCTACTGAGGAGTATCCTGAAACCTCAGGTTCAGATATGGTTGTCTGGGACGCTTTATTTTTAGATTTGGTTGTCAAGCTTTCTTTGCTTGCATGCTGTGTGGTCAGAGGTGTTTGAAGTAATATTGGCATGTGATTTAAAAGATTTGGATGTTTGGATAATTTTTCCTAGGAAAGAAATTGGTTTTGTTTGTGAAGATTATTCTGTCACTCTTTTTTTTTTTTTTTAAAGATTTGCACCTGAGCTAAGAACTGTTGCCAATCTTTTTTTGTTTTCTGCTTTATCTCCCCAAATCCCCCCAGTACATAGTTGTATATCTTAGTTGCAGGTCCTTCTAATTGTGGCATGTCACTCTTCATTGGATTATGGATTGATGATTGTGAGTTCATTATTATTTGTTAGTATATTTATTATTCTTGAGATTACTTGTGAAAATTAAGTAATCTGATTGATTATGGAATAAAAATAGATACAGAAGTTCTGGGAGTTGTTCCTGGAAGCTCAGCTGAGTTCCTGTTTCTTCAGCAAAATCAACATTTCTATGGAGCTTTCTTAAATCCTTTTGTGAAGGTATAATTCTCAAAATGACAAAAATAAAATTGTTATGCATATAGTGAGCATGAATACAAGTTTTATTTAGCACATTAATGAGGGAACAAGCAGGATGACAAAACCCACTCCAAAAACAAGTGAGAAGCCAACATGTATATAACTAGTGCAACAAAGAAATGCTGAATTTAGATTGCTAAGTTAGATACAAACCTAGTGTGTTAACTTGGTCAGTATACTCTATGACAAAAAAGCCGTATCTTTGGAGTTATGTTCTCTGTCAAAAATCACTTGCATCTCTACTGGACAAAAATCATTTCTACTTTTATCAGTTTTTTGTAGGTTAACATCTAGCTTTACATAGTCTGGTCCTAATCAAAAGTGCATAGTAATTTAAACAAAGGTACATTCCCCTAAGAGTCAGATGTCTCTTAGATGGGCTTGTTAAAGAATGTGCTAGGCAGTGACCTTTCTTACTACCTGTAATTCTGGGACAATGTACAACAACAGATACCAGACAGTTTTCATAGGAAGGCTCATAGGTGTTGGTTCCAAATATCAGTTACATCTATGTCCTTGATGGAGACTGGGGACTTGTCATATCTGGTTGAATGGAATGGATTCTCAAATACAATCCTCCAGATATGGCCTCAGTTGCACAATTTGTCCAATTCTATCCCAGCAAAAAGGAGGACAGATTTTTATTCAATTTATGCAAAGGACTGCATTGCCATGAAAAGTTGAGGCTTAGTAAAAGTATTTGTACCTGAATTCTGAGGGGTTGATGAGAATAAGATACTAAATACAAAGAATGTTTTGTACAAGCATAAGTGTTAGAGGAAAGTCAAAAGAAAATGGGTTTTCTTATGTGCCCATCAGATAATGGAATGGTAAAAATAGTACCAACAGAATTCCAAAATGAATAAGCATGATTAGATTGCCTTCATCAGTTCATTCAATCTGGCATAGTTAATGTCCTGCTATATCTTGGGTTATCAGTGTGCTTTCACAAAATTATCTGCTCTTGGTCTAAAAATTTAATCTTGGAAATCCTGACACAGTCCCCTAAAACAGATGGATTGGTGTCTACTTGAGGTGGCAATGTCAGTTTACACTGGGAAGCCTGTTCCTATTAGTTTATTCCTTGCCATATCAATAGGTAAGAGGATCTGTTACAGTCCTTTCAACTAAGATTTTAAGTCTAATCTTTCCAATTTCTGATCTGTATCTTATAGAAGAAACCTTCAGACAAGCATGAGAATAAAGCAGAAACCACTTGAGCATAATAAAATGGAATTTGCCTTCTTAATTTATTAGAGTAAACAACAATATCAGAAAGGAAGAGAATAAAGTCCTCTATTAGTAGAGTATAATGCATAACTATTTTTAAAAGATTAAACATATGATAGGCATTGAGAACATGAACAGATCTCCTGGTACTTCCAATCCATTCTTTAAAACTTTTAAAACTGTCAAACTCTGAAGCATATTTATATTGTTATTTTACCTGCACAGTATTAACTGGGAAGGTAGAGGTTCCCTTTTTATATTTTACAGCTCCTGTCATAATGAGGACTTAATGAACCGGCAGTTTTTATAACAGTGTTCAGCTATGTATGAAACATGGACCTTTCCACTTCTGGCCATGACAATTTACAAGTACTGGACTTGTCCTCCTGTGCAAACAACTAGAAAACCAGGCAAAATATATGAAACAGCCATTCTCCGACGTCGGACAACAGGCAGTGCAGAACTGTGATCCATGAGAGAAGGGAGCAAATTAGGAGAGCCTATGATTGCCCTCATGTTCTGCCTGGAGGCACTTTCCGCCTGTCACACAGCAGAAGGAACCTAAGCAAAGCATGGCTATCTTGTGGAATTGAGGAGAGAGAGACTGGATTTTGGAAAGGTCAAGGTGGCTGGAATTTTCAGGGAAGAATATGAAAAGAGAAAGAGCTCTCCAGAGAAAGGACTCCAGAAATCTACATAGGAGTCTGCTTGAGTATTTTGCTGATATCTAAAGTATACACAAATAGGGTGAGGCTCCTCAAGACTGGGAAAGGTACAACTAGGGAGTTTTTAGCTGAACTATTCTAAGAGCTCACATGGGTCTAGAAGATATTCAGGTTCTAACTAGCTATATTGGAGAGATTTTGTTGGACATCTGTGGCCTTCAGTAAAAACCCCAGAAAGGTCACACCTCAGTAATAGAGTTAAACTAGCCCTACTAGATTAAAGGCTATTTTAGACCTGCTCTAAAAAATATCAAATTGATTTGCTAACCTAATTAAATGTCTGGCAAAAAAACCCCACCATTGTACTTTAAAGGAGACAGCAGTATCAAGATCTGTGTAACAGTCTCAATGTCCAACATCCAATGATAAAATTACTAGGCATATAAAGAAGAAGGAAAATGTGGCTTAAAACCAAGAGAAAAACTGCTCATTAAGAAAAGATCCAGAAAAGACAGAGCTAATAGAATGAACGGAAAGGGACTTTTTAAAAGCTTTTACAA